AAAAAAACCACCTATTTTGAGAAAATCCGGACGAATGCCTTGATGCTATCCTTGTCAGAAGCAAGAACAGGTGAACGCTGTGTGTTCAGCTGTAGTTGCCACGTGGAAACACGTCAAAAGCTAAGGAGGCGACCACGTTCTCTGACGTGCACACCCTCATAACTTCCTTAAAGGGAGTGTCCAGGCTAAACCTAACCCCTTCCGATTAGTGTCGATCCTGAATGTAGGCCCCAGAAAAGGGGCATCTGCGTTGGTCCGGTCTTCTAACGTTGTCTCTGAATGGGGATAAGGAGCCTGAAAGTCCCTGGCTAGGCGGAGTCTGATATCAGACTCCGCCCATCAGGGACTGCTCACTACCTTGTCAATACGTGCCTCTTGACACGTATTGACAAGATAGTGAGCAGAAGCTGCACACTGCACACTGCAATGCAACTGCACCCATGCAGTTCCCGCTAGCCTGCCGACGGGGACGAGCAATTCAAAACTCGTCCACGCCCTCAGAACTGGGTTCCAAGAATCGGGTTTTTTTGTGAATTTTAGTGAGTTTGAAGCTCGGAACTGTAATCAGGACCACGGAAAGGCCCTAGAATGACGAGAACATGGGGGCCAAATTCTGGGTGGACGCTGCCTTTAAAAAAACTTCTAAAATACATATAGTTCCCTCCACATTTGCTGCTGCCCTCGGTCTGCGTCTCAGACCTGCCACGTGTAACTAACATGTTGGCAACGTGGCAACAACATGTTTGTAAACATAACACAACATGTTGGCAGAACATTTTGGCTACGCCAACATGTTGCTGCATGTTGCCAACGTATTGCTGCCAACGCTGCTAACGTGTTAGTCACACGTGACACATCGGCGACGCCAGAAGGGCAGCAACAAATGTGGAAGAAACGATAAACATTATACGATAGCTTAAACCGCATAGTTTTCACAGCAATAATTTTATCCAGAATATGCTTTTTAAATCTGAGTAATTGACCGTACGCCGCGAAACCTGGCTCAATTGATGTGGAACTCTCTCTTACTACATCTTCTAACAAGTGATAATTAAAAGTTTGAGAAGCTTACAATTTTTTCGATTTATTCTTGATGCTGGCGCGCTTTATGGAGACAAAGAACCGTAGGGGTAAAGTAAGTAAGGTGGGTACGCCTTCTTTATTCCTTTGCCGATTCATCCCCCTCTCCATCTAGCTTGTTGTTATTCACGTTACTTTCAAGGGTCCATACCTATCACGTGGGTAAGTCCATGCGTCCATCTTGCGGATGACTTTCTTATTTTTCAAAATTATCGCAATGTATGTCAACTTTCCATTGAAGAAAATAGTTGTTGCTGTAAGCAAACCATTGCAAGCGAAAAATGAAAGATTGAGATCTTGTGCGACTCTTAATCACAAAGTCCGGCGGTTATTCGAAGCAAGAAACCTCACATGAGCAAAGAATAAGTGGAGTGTTGCTTTGTGTTGAATGCGAAGAGAGGTATATTTGATTCGTTGGCTGCGCGTGGCCTGTAGCGTTTTAGCACGTGCGGTCAAAGAAACGAGGATAGCTAACTCATCTTTGAAACGAAGTTAATTTTTTTAGTATGACTATTTCACTTGAGTGGCCCAATATTTGAAAACCTCAGAGTCGGCTTAGAAGGATTACAGGTTGATTACGAATTTGTTAGACATTGTAATTAGTAGGAACTCATGTTATACCTAACGGTAAGTAGACGTTAGTTTTGGGAGATTTGAGACACACAAGGGGGAGGGGGTATCCCTCGTGTGCGCACCTTCCTCGACCTTGCTTAGGATGCTTCCTCTGCTAGAGCATGACCGAAAGTTTTGAAGGGGTTTCGAATTATTTAGAATCAAATTCTTTCTCGAGAAAACCCTGAAAAATTAACCATGTTCTTAGAATGATTAGGGCTAAAACAGTGGCGTACCCAGATCACCGTTCGGAGTTGTGGGGCAATAAGATCAGCCACGCACTCCGAAAAAATTTTTGGTATGCTTTCTAAAATCTTTGTGGGCCCTCACCCCGAAAACGCCCCGTAAAAATTTTTTCAAAGCTAAGAGTTTTCAAAAAATTTGAAAATTTATTTCGATTGTTTACAAGTATAAACAAATCGCTTCACATTTTATAACCCATATAAGTGACTTTCAAAAATTTCGCGGCCCATTTTCGGGGTGGGGGAGGGGGCGGCAGTACATGTTTTTTATTTTCAGCCCAGTGACCTACCGGGAGAGCCCCACTGGCTGAAGATAAAACATATACTTCTTATCTGTTGCAAATAAACGTTGATAGTTATGAAAGGTAGAGACAAGTTCTTTGGATCCACTGGTGGATTCTACACTGCAAATCTACGCTGTTGCCAGCCAGTCTTTAATTATCTTAGGGGTCGTGAAAGATATCAATAGGACGAGTTATCACCGACAAGTGCATAATTATTGACTTTGACCAAAAAAACTTTTAGAGTATTTTCCAGACGATATGATATGAAACTTAGTACGTACATGAACACGGGCCTGGGGTGAACCGTGAAGTTTCATTGAATATGTGACTGAAGATGTGGCAAATTTTTTCCGGAAACTTTCCGCCACCAAAAAATGAAAAGATGGCTCATCGCAACGATTCTGCCAACCAGACAACTGTTACGAATCCATTACATCTTAACTTCTGCATTCCAGCTGCTATAGGTTTCCAACCCGACTAATCGCGAATGACTATCACAACCGAAATGGAAGATCATCGGCTTGTAATGAACTCGTACATGAACACGGACCTGCAGTTACCGTAGAGTTTCATTGAAATATTATGTGATTGAAGATTGTGGCAAGCTTTCTCTGAAAATTTCCCGCTACCAAAAAAATGGAAAAATGGCTCATTTGCAAAGCAGAGATGACGAAATCGCGCGAGATTTGATGTGTATATGCGCAGTAAAACTACGGTAAATACGAAAAATCATGAAATACCTAGAAACCTGTGAATGAAGCGAGTGCCCAACTTTTTTTCCAAACAATTGCCCATTAAATGCCCACCTGAAGTAGGCAAAATTTTCGTTTCACATAAGTTTCTCAAAATTTTTACTTAATTGTATTCTACACCTAAAATTTGGTATATAGCAACATTTTGGCTCCAAAACTCTTGCTCCCCTTGTTGCGAAGATCCGGAAAATCTACGACGCCGTTTCCTTGGGACGAGAAAGCTCGCTCCAATCAAACCCTACGCAGTTGGCGGGATCAAGTAGGAAGTCGTGAAAATCGATAGTGGCACAGGCGAAACTGTTTTGATGTTTGGTACTTTGGTGTGTGGTGGTTTTTGGTGTTTGTTGTGTGCTTAAAAGAGTTTGAAGTCAGATGTTCAACCTCACTTTCTAGGATCTTGAATATGACCTCGAAACACAATCCTGCATGTTTGGCACCAATCCTCTAGGCAAAACAGGACGCGAAATGCGAGACAATTTTGCAGTATTAGGACTAGGAATTTGCAGTCGGTACGAAAATATCAACGTTCTGGCCGTGAACGCGGTTGGGTAAACTTGTCCACCTTTCACCTTACCTTAGGGCTAAATATGCATGAGAGCGATACAAAACAAGTTTGATAATAACAGCTGCATATTGTAAAAAAGCTCACATTTTCACTACTCACAAAGGCGATTATGCCAACACAAAATTGCCACATCCTAGCAAATGTGTTGTAGAAAGCAGTGTTGCTGTCAGCAGTGAGATATAAACCGAGAGAAATACATGTGATCCCTTGAATACCAATTTGCACTCAGACATATTTCAGCTCAACACGACTAACCCAAAAAGAAAAGCACCCTCCGTAAAGGTAGCAAAGTTTGCACGAAGAAGAGAAGTGGAGCCAACAAATACCATTGCATCTCGACACATAATGACCAAGTATGAGTAAAGAGATCGTCCGCATTTGACAGCTGAAGCTGTTCATGCATAGGTGTGAAAGTAGGAAATTCGAAGACATCACCATTTTTTCGTAATCCATGGCAGGATCGTTCTCAGACAGCCTGATGTTTGTAATGAGAAATATAGCTTTGCGTGAACTAGGGAAATTTATGAGCCGGAATGAAGGTAGCTTTGATACTACAAACAATAATATCGCCGCAGACATCATATAATACAGCGGTAATATTCGCTTGATTCTGGAACTTTGCCTCTTATCTGCATAGTATTAGGTTGTAAAGAAAGTTCCCGGGCACTTGCGAAGATTTTGTTCAAATCGCTGTAAATTCAAACAAATTGATTCTTTTCCGAAACTAGCGACTTAGTTGCAAAGACAATTTTACCCTCAACAAATAATTGTCTAGTTGGCTTCTCAGCACCTCACTGCGGTCCACCAGCATGCGCAGAAAGGAGAAGGGTCGACGCGAAAAGTGGCCTATTTGTACAGTATTATTCTCAGACCTTATGAGAGCTGGAGAACTCAGACGCTGTAGTTATATAGAGGTCTGCTGGGGCTGTTATGGGGACCATTCACGTTTCTAAAGGACCACCTGCAAAAAAAATTTCTTTAGAAGGTTTGAAAAATCGATCATTTCTGCTCCTAAAAATGCACCGTTTTCCGAGCAATTGACTTTGAAGTCTTCTAGTTCTGCAAAGAAAGGACCAAATCTTTGATTAAAGCGACGCCAGCTGCGAAAAGAGATGAAGTCAGGTGCGAGTTCGACAGCTTGTAATTGATGAGCGCAGGTCGCAAAACTCGAGTGCAGCTGCGGGTCAGAAGTTAACAGGTTCCTCAATCAAATCACCATGATTTGGACGAAATTTGTTTTAACTGCACAGAAAAATGGGCGCAGGAAGAAAAATTGTGGAATTTTTGTGGTTGGAAAGATTTCTATTCTTATAAAAATCAGAAGGCGCACTGAAAACTTTAGGCTTCTCTTTACTGAACAGTATAGTGTCCAAGTCCGACCGAGCGCCGAAAAAATGCGTTTGAAAATGAAACTTTCAAAAGTGCCTGGAAACTTTTTTTTACAACATAATAGTAAAATAACTTTTCAGATGAAAGATAACCTTCTGTAATAGTAATTCTTACAAGACGAAGCTGTCACCTCCGTTCTTGTTATGATCATAGCCATAAGAAAGCCAGATACGACGAAGAACCTGAATTGCAGATCAAAGAAAAAGCTCGCAAATATATCAAGTTGTTCCGTCCGTTTTGGATTTTAATCGCAATAAATCATGAACTTTTGTTTCTAGATAGGTTCCAAGGTGCCATTCGATAGAGCAAATTGAGCTCTAGAAGAGCGCTATCTCGCTCTTGCACCAGCTCTAATCAATCCATCTCGAGTTTCAAGGCGAAAATTGAAGAGATTCAACTGCCCGAAAATTCAAGAAAATAATTATAACTCCGTTTACAAAAATCCTACAAAAATTCTAACTTGTTTGCGTAAACCCTATCCATGTAAAACATTTGTATACGCTGTTGCCGAATTTTTTCTTTGGTTAGAAATTAAAAAAACGAAGATTTTCATGTTTTTGCTAGAGATGCTGTGCTGTCCCTACATAGATAGTTGTAGGCCCGTAAAAGTACAAATGTAACATTTCAGCTCCCTGCAAGCTTTGGTTCTCGAGAAATATCGAGTACAGCTTACCTTAGCTGGTGCCTTACGCTTAAATTTATATTTCTCGAAAACTAGTGCCTTTAGAAAGCTGAAAATTTACATTTGTACTTCCACGAGCTAGTGGCATACAACTATCTATGTAGGGACAGCACAGCATCGCTCTAGCAAAAACATGAAAATCTTCGTTTTTTTAATTTCTAACCAAAGAAAAAATTCGGCAACAGCGTATACAAATGTTTTACATGGATAGGGTTTACGCGAACAAGTTAGAATCTTTGTAGGATTTTTGTAAACGGAGTCGTGATTTTTTCTTGATTTTTCGGGAAGTTGAAACTTTTTAGTTTTCGCCTTGAAAATCGAGATAGATCAGAACTGGTGCAAGAGCGAGATAGCCTTCTTGTAGAGCTTGATTTGCTCTATCGAACGGTGCCTTGGAACCTATCTAGAAACAAGAAGTTTATGATTTATTGCGATTGAAAACCAAAACAGACGGAACTTATGGGACAACCTTACAGTAACACCAGCTTGCTTACCCGGCTCCGCTCGGCCCTGTTAAAACATGTAATAAAGGTCCCATCCCTATCCTTGTACAGCCTTTCCCTGTGCCCACATCTACACTTCGTTTCCCGCTTCCTGTGTTCTTTTCGAAATCAGTATGCCCACTTACCAACCGGTGCCAACTCCCAGCCCTTCACCTCAAATTTTGAAAAAATCGATAAAATCGATGAAATCAGTAGGTAATACCAAAAACTAATATTGTATTCGTAATCAGCATGCTCGATTACCCCCCCCCCCCCCTATGCCAACTCCCAGCCCCGTAGTTCAAACTTTGCAGAAAAAAAAATCGATAAAATTGATAAAAGTAATGGAATTCTCGAAACTAGAATTGTTTTCGTAATCAGCATGCTCGATTACCCCCTGTGCCAAATCCCAGCCCTGTAGCTAAAACTTTGCAAAAAATCGATAAAATAGATATCGATCGATAACGAAAAGTAGTCCCTGCGCCGATGTCTATGTGTGCCAAGTTTGGTCCAAATCGGTTTGATAATAAAAATTTTTATTCCGCACTTACGTACATACAGACATACATTCAGCTTTATATATAAGATATGCTTAAATTTTTTGAGCGTAGTCATTTTTTAGAGGCAGATATGAAAACCGAGTACGATGACTCCGATCTTAATAAAGCTCTCGCGCATGGCATTGCACCAATGCGCTTCTGAAGCGAAAAACCGTTTCAGAAGTTTTGGCGGGAACGTTCCTGGTCCCAAACTGAATTCGCGTTTACTTGGCGGCAGGCGCTCAAATTCAACTCAAGGATTTTTGAACTCCGTTTTCTGCATTTTCGTGCTCGCTAAGCTGTATTTTCGTATTCAGCGGAAACAAGACAAGCCCAAAGCGAAAAAAAATTCATTGATTTTTTTGTACACTGCCTTCAGAAAAAGAAGTTGCTTACATATCTACTCCAACATATCCATTCGGGCAATAAGCAGGAAAGAAGTGAAATGTGACAACCAAAGCAATCGCCCAGCCACGTATCCCTTGGATGTCTTGTCGTTTTTGAGCCATCGAACTATAAACAAGAGTTTCTTTTAGTAAAATTACACCGACTGCGTCTAGCAGTTATGAAAATTTATCGCATCGGTATACAAATCCTTTCTTATATAATGGGCACTCCTATTCCTGCAACCAATAACTTGTGGTGATCAGGATTTGGCTGTACTTTCTCGAAGTTTATTTCGCTCGAATAAATATTGTTGTTGCTCATAAACATGCGGCAAATTTTTGAATCTGTTTAAGTAATGCGCATCTTTTGTAATATATAGTTTTAAACAAGGCGGACTAAGGCTTTGTTGTCGATAATATTGCTCAAAAGTGTCTTATACGAATCAATTTTGAGAGCGCTCGTGGAGGGAAAAAGAAAACGCAAAGCTTGAATGAGTTTGTGCAACCACAAAGCGCAGCAGTGCAAGGCAAAAAAGCTTGTAATGATACAGTTACAATAAAACTGCCTAAGACAAACACAGGGCTTGGCAATAGGATGGCGAATGTCAAAATGAAAATCGTACGGTCTGCCCCAATCGGGATCCGGCTGAACCGTCGGTTGTAAGTTGTAAAATAAGCAACCGTAAGTTGTAGAATAAGCACGCCATTTTAAGAACAAACAGAAACGAAATAGCAAGTGTAGATGAAAGTGTTATACTATTGCAATATGATCTGTCCCTTATTCCATTCATACTAGCTTTTACAGAGTGATTTTATCTACAGATTTGAGTTAAGATTTCAAAAATTATGTCAAATGAACTCCAAATTTAGACTGCTGTAGTTAACAAGTAAAGCATTTTGTTATGGGCATAGATATCATAGCAGGTAAAGTGCTTTGAATTGATAAATTTGCTGAATCTGAAGAAGTAATGCGAGGCGTAGCCAGTTATGTAAGCTAGTTGGTAATAAAACAAAGGAGATATCTAATTACATCCATACTACGTAATACTTATCATTTTGCTACACGGCTGACATGCAAAAAAACTGTCTTGCTCGCGCTTCACCCTCAAAAAATCTCTCTAGCTTAGTAGTAACTAACCGCCCCTTTTGCAGCGCGCATGTAAAGATTTGACTCTGTATTTAGTGTATGAACGGGCAAATTAGGAAGGGCATAGTGAAAAGTATCGTGAGATATTTGTGACTAAAGACTTGATATAAGACTGAAGATTCAACAAAATGACTCGTTTGCAATGCACAAAAAGCAATTTGGCTCCGAGTCTGATGTTATATTCGCAATAAGAAGTTGAAAATACGAGAAATCGTAAAATATTCATTCAAATAAAAATTAGGCACAACTTTTTTCAACCTATTGGCACCATATGCGCACCTAATGCCAATGTGAGGGTGGCGAAAGGTTGCTCTCATAAGCTACTCAAAGTTCTACATTAATCTGTTCTGCACTCAAAGTTTATCATGTAGGATTTTGGGTTCAAATCTTTTCCTCTCATCGTTAAAGACAAAATAGTAATGAGGGCGGTGTCCTCATGGAGCAAAGCGCACTTCAATTAAATGGCTTACGCGGCTAAAACGACTAAGTGGGAAACCGTAAAATTCAAAGGCGGCAAAAGCAAAATCGTTTCTTAGATATCTATGGCACCCTCCTAGCACATCTTTCAAAAGGCGGGCTCTCATGTACCTCGTCGCAGGTACAACAACACACCCCAAAGGCCATTTTTTGAAATTGTTTTCAAAAAATGATTCAAAGGATTATGGTACAGGAAAGGCTGAAGAAAATTAAGAAACGATGTCAAAGAAGATAAAATTTTGTGCATTAGAAAAGTATGCAAATTTGGAGTCCTTCCATGAAAGAGTACGCAACGAGAAGGCGATAGATAGCAGTTTCCAGCTTCAGACTGAGGGAAAGGTTTATGACTGTTATTCTTGCAGATGTCGTCGCGTTGAGGAAAAGCGCAAGTTTCCAAGGCTTTTCCCATATTTATGAGTGGAGACTATTTGTAAGTCAGTCCGTTTTTGAAGGGTTGGAAGAAAATTACAGTCATTGTAGAGGCGGTAGGCAGCAGTGCTGCCTAATGAGCGGAATGTTATGTGCATGTCATTCAAAATATTCGTCAAAGTTATTTGTAGAACTTTCTTTGAAAAGGAAGGAATTAGTTGTTGAAATGTATTCATCCGTAGTTTGTGGGAAAGGAGATAGTTGTCCCCTCAAATGCGTTGACTAACTAAAAGGGAAAAACAAATTTTATTTTTTTTTCTTCGGGCTAAGGCTCTTCATTTCTAGGTAGCCTCCTATTTTGATTTGTGTGGGGCTAGCGTTCTAATGCATCAAGTCTAGGTAACAGTGCTATGTTGCTAAGGAAGAGAACAACATAAGTGGCATTGTGAGAAGAATACGTTGTGGAGCCACGTAGGGAGGCGCTGAGTGGAGTACATGTACAGAATTTGGATTGCGGTATTGAAAAAAAAAGATATAGAACTTTTTTGCTCATCGTTAGCACATTTCGAAACAAAAATAGTTTTAATTATCAAGCATTTTTATTAACAAAAACCCTTTCCCACTGCTAATGAAAGTTCGTAGAGATCAATGTATTAGTAGGTTTTGCAACAAAGTATGAGAGTCCGGCATAGTCGGACGATCACACTGGTGAAAAAATCCGCTAATTTCTGACAGACGGCTCTGTTTGTGTTTTCATGAGCAATAAGGGAGGTGACTTCGTAATCACGTTGCAAACACTAGATAGAAAAAATGCCAAGAGGGCATCCCTCTGAAGTTACTATGTATTAGGCATAAGGTATACCTCGCGCGATTTCGTCAAATCGCTGTACCCACGAGACTTGGCGGTTTGTCAGATGTATACAAAATAACCGTGCGCGAGTCTAAAATGCACAGACGCATAGCTGCCATAAGTTGCAGCAAAAGCTTCAAATCTGGCCCATGCAAAACGCGCTTACGACCAGTTATGAAGAGTCGCTGCAGTGCCAGATCGAGCAGGGACTGAAATTACATAGGGGTGCCTTAGGCCTCGTGCCGTTTTTTAGATGTATTCTAAAGTCGTTCAGAATGAAGATAGACAAATTTTTCATTTTAGACTTTTAAGGGTGCTCTAATAACCACCTAATAACGCGAACCTTTTTCAAATTGATGCATTTTTCGTCTCTCTGGGCTTTCTAGAATTACTAAAATTTATTTTCTAAAGTGACCGAATTTTATTTCTCATTCTAATTTCGCAAAACATCACGTTGAACAGTTCAGGCATCATTCGGTGCACCTATATCTCCTCTTTGTAACACCTAGCTTTTCTTCGCGAAACATGCGACTATTGCACACAAAGTCGCTGTGCTTCCCAATTTCACGGGTGCGCAACGTTGCAGTCGAAATTCCAAAATCGATCCGTTTTCACGCCGTAGCCCGCTCATTTACTTCATAATACTAGTGATAGTATAAACCGAGTTTAAGAAATTCAATATTTTGAGGATTTCACAGTGTTTGGTGCAATTACATGTCACGCGACTTTTTCAGAATTGAATGCTTTAATGCAAATTTTTCATTTTAGACTTTTGAGGGTGCTTTAATAACCAGCTAATAACGAAGACCTTTTTTCAGTTAATGCAATTTTTGCATCCTTTCAGCTTCCTCACTAGAATTTTGCTGAATATTATATTAGAGCATTCAATTCTGAGAAGTCGCGCGACATGTAATTGCGCCAAACACTGTGAAATCCTCAAAATATTGAATTTCTTAAACTCGGTTTTTACTATCACTAGTATTATGAAGTAAATGAGCGACTACGGCGTGAAAATGGATCGATTTTGGAATTTCGACTGCAACGTTGCGCACCCGTGAAATTGGGAAGCACAGCGACTTTGTCCGCAATAGTCGCATGTTCGCGAAGAAAAGCTAGGTGTTACAAAGAGGAGATATAGATGCATCGAATGATGCCTAAACTGTTCAACGTGATGTTTTGCGAAATTAGAATGAGAAATAAAATTTGGTCACTTTAGAAAATAAATTTTAATAATTGTAGAAAGCCCAGAGGGACGAAAATGCATCAATTTGAAAAAGGTTCGCGTTATTAGGTGGTTATTAGGGCACCCTTAAAAGTCTAAAATGAAAAATTTGTCTATCTTCATTCTGAACGACTTTAGAATACATCTAAAAAACGGCACGAGGCCTAAGGCACCCCTATGTGATTTCAGTCCCTGCTCGATCTGGCACTGCAGCGACTCTTCATAACTGGTCGTAAGCGCGTTTTGCATGGACCAGATTTGAAGCTTTTGCTACAACTTATGGCAGCTATGCGTCTGTACATTTTAGACTCGCGCACGGTTATTTTGTATACATCTGACAAACCGCCAAGTCGCGTGGGTACAGCGATTTGACGAAATCGCGCGAGGTATGCCTTAGGCCTAATACAAAGTAACGTCAGAGGGATGCCCTCTTGGGATTTCTCTATCTAGTGTTTGCAACGTGATTACGAAGTCACCTCCCTTATTGCTAATAAAAACACGAACAGAGCGGTCTGTCAGAAATTAGCGGATTTCTTTACCAGTGTGATCGTCCGACTATGCCGGACTCTCATACTTTGTTGCAAAACCTACTAATACATTGATCTCTACGAACTTTCATTAGCAGTGGGAAAGGGTTTTTGTTAATAAAAATGCTTGATAATTAAAACTATTTTTGTTTCGAAATGTGCTAACGATGAGCAAAAAAGTTCTATATCTTTTTTTTCAATACCGCAATCCAAATTCTGTACATGTACTCCACTCAGCGCCTCCTACGTGGCTCCACAACGTATTCTTCTCACAATGCCACTTATGTTGTTCTCTTCCTTAGCAACATAGCACTGTTACCTAGACTTGATGCATTAGAACGCTAGCCCCACACAAATCAAAATAGGAGGCTACCTAGAAATGAAGAGCCTTTCCCCGAAGAAAAAAAATAAAATTTGTTCTTCCCTTTTAGTTAGTCAACGCAATTGAGGGGACAACTATCTCCTTTCCCACAAACTACGGGTGAATACATTTCAACAACTAATTCCATTCTTTTCGGAGAAAGTTCTACA